TTTTTCTTGTGACATTACCAATAAGTTTGATGTGTCACATGTCCCTCTTCCTATTAAAAAAACAAAAGTTGTATCCAAGATGTCTTCTAAATGGCCACCATGGTCACCACCCATCTTGAGGAGTTTTCCCCCTCACATATACTAATGTGCCACAAACAGGACTTTAATATCACCAACCATTCCCATGTTATTACGGTGTATCCATATAAATGGCCCACCCTGTATAACAACTATAAACCAAGTCAAAAAGGTCTAGAAACCAGTTTGTGACCCTCTGGTCAAAACTGTGATTCCCAATGCTGAACACCTAGTGAACAAAAACGTGAACACCAAGACCATCAAGCTTGCAAATTGCAAATTAAGTAGTAATACAGTTTTGGTTTTTTTTGCAAGCGTCAGTGTAAGGATCAAATAAAGAACTATTTTTAGTGTCTTTGCTCTCTGTTTACTTGGTGGTAATTTTGAGGGAAATATCTAGTGGCCATTAACTATTCAGTGTCACATACACAAAACATTGACGCACAGTACACAAAATAAACAGCACTGATCGCATTAGTGCGACCAGCTGACTGAGCATGTGTTGGCGTTCAGACTCACTTTGTCTTGTTGGCTGCTGGCCAGTTGCACCATGCAAATATCCCACACAGTGACAGGCCAGGTAACTGGCTGATTTGCATATCACCTGGGGCCATTTGATTCAAAGTTATTATTAAACTGAACAACACTGAAATGAAACCCAACTTTGGTGCAGTTGTTGTTGCCGTTTTGGTTCTATATAAAAAACTGGGCAACCACAAGGTTTCAGCTTTAAGGGAAACTGTTGGTTTTCACATTCATATTGGCCAAATCTGATCTGTAAGCAACTGAGCATGTTTCACGTGATGAAGTATAGGTATAAAGCAAAAAGCCCCTGAAAAACAGAAGTGAATATGGCTGTAACACATTTTCTGTTCTTAAGCCCATTCTCACTGATAGGAATGGCTTGAATATGATTATCAAAACACATGTTCAGAAACTGAAGCTTCTAAGATGTTAATGAAGGTGAACTGAGAACTGTTTCTAGAACTATTTATCCAAAAGTGCTCACGACAAGAATTTATTACAGGGCTGTTGCATTAAGGTCCATTATTTGTATCTGACTGTACTCATTTAACCGTTACTCAAATAAACATTGAGACACCGACAGCTGCTAAAGGGTGCTAATATTCAGTTCAATCCAATTCAACTATATTTATATAACACCAAATCACAACAAAAGTTACCTCAAGGTGCTAATTTATGAGCACCAAAAACACAAACATGATGAAGAGGTCCAGTTAACAGCCTCAAATTAGCTGGGATTAGCCTAACAATCAAAGCAGTCAAGCATTTACTCACACGTAACTGTTATTCTTAAGGGCAAAATCTCTGTAGCAAATGACGATGTACGGCCTATTTAAGTAACACACTGTATTAAATACAACAGCATTAAATGTTGATCTACTCTGATCTCTGGTCTGAATAAAACTGAAAAAAAAAAAAAAAAAGCTGTAGCTTTTGTTTTGTTCAAATTTCTACAGATGTTTTCATGAAACATCTGCATCACAGCTGTGTCACTAATCATTTAATCTCTTGACTCCCAAAGGTCACTCACCTATGTTTGGATGTTTCAGCAGGCGACAGATCCTCGCCTCCCGCTCCAATTTCTGGTGATCTGAGGATAGAAAAGAGCAGAGAGGAAAGTGTAAACACTCAGTAATAGTACCAGGAGGAGAAGTCACTTTGTTTTTGTCCAGCATGCAGAACAGACCCCTTTCTCAAAATCCACTGAGTAAGTGGACACAGAACGGCGTAATGCTGAAGTACACAAAAAAAGGGGAGCCATAACATTCACTCAACTGACTGCAGGCCGTGTTCAACATCACTTCTCCAAAAGCACGCTTTGAAAGCAGCTTTTTCTGCAGAACTTTTTAACATGTGTTCACAATTTAAGTGCTAATAAATGATTTATTTCTTTTTCTAAAGAACAGATTTTTGCAAACATTAAAAGTTGATATCTTGTTTGGTAGGACTTCAGAACTGCCTGCATCAGCGACTTTGCGACTTGATTAAAAATGTTCTTTCAACTCTAAACTGGTTACACACAAACATATGAACATACTTCATTTCTTTTTCTCTCCAATCTCTCCTGCTCCTCCCACTCCACTGAGAACAATCATTTTTCTTCGTCTAAACTTGACCAAAATCAATCAACTTGAACTGGAGACAACAGCAAAACACTTCATAGTAGCAGAGCCCGATGATGTAAGAGGCCAAAACAGAGACCGTAAACTAATGCATGATTACACAAGCAGACAAACAGCTGTATAGTGTACACACACAGACATACACAAAATAAGCACAAGCTTTTTGCACTTAGTGAAATTAGTCTTGCGGGTCTGCCCTTAATACAATCAGTGTCCAGATAATGATTCTAATGGCAAGGGGAGGATGTCCATGCATGTGTGTGTATGCAGCTGCATGTTTCAGGCAGATTGGTTGCACAGATACAGTAGATACAATGGATGGCATGTCCTGTTGCAGGGTCTAAGAGGTCAGGTTTATGTTGGGCTTTCCTGCCACCAACCAGCTGCTGGTCTCAGTGGACAGATGGAGTGCTTACGTGGGTGCACAGACCTCTGTGTGTGCGCCTATGTGTTTCGGTTCGAGTTCGCGACAGAGGGTTAGAGACACTGGACATCACTAATCCCAAAAACATTAGTTTGACGATCATTTTGTAATTGCATAATAGATTATCTTCTTTATATATCTTTATATTGTCTGACAATATCTTTTTTCACTGAAGCAGAAAATCACAGTCACCAATTCCTTACTGCTTTTTTTGTAAACCTTTTGAAAACCTTTGAATTTAGTATCGGGGGAAAACTAACATTGTACTATATACGCTACATAAACACATCAAATAAACCCAATTGGAAACAAAAATTAGTTATTTGTTTTCTATCATAAAAGCTACAGATATGTACAACTCTAAGCAGAAGTACGGCTCCTGTTGTGAACACCACTTGTTCTGCCCAACTTATATGGCTATCAATATACATTCACCAGGCACTTCACTGTAAACATCTGTTCAACAACTTAATGCATTTAGGAGGGCAAGCACGGTCCAGACGACCTGCTAAAATTTAAGTCGAACATCGGAATGAAGATGTAAGTAAGTAAAATTTTATTTATATAGCACCTTTCGAGAATAAAATCGCAAAGTGCTTCAAAGAAGCTAAAACATAAAAACAAAAATCAACCAAAAGCAGGTTTAAAAAGATGAGTTTTAAGCTGTTTTTTTTAATGTGTGTGTGTGCAGCTGCATTTTTCAGGCAGACTGGTTGCACAGATCCAGTAGATACAATTTAGGTGTCTTTAAACATGACATTGTTGTTTTGCCAGAAAGATAGGTCTGAGTGTTTTAGAAACTACTACTACTGAGACTTTTTCACACAAAATTTCTAAGGTTTACAGAGAATGATCTGAAACTGGGAAACAGTGACAAAAATAATCACTTGTTAGAACCAAGATATGCAGAAGAGCATCTCTGAATGAACAACACATTGAACGTTGAAGAAGGCCAGAATGGGTGCAATAGTTGAGTAATTATCCTATTTTCTGTACTTACCAATATCCAACAACAGAAGATTACAAAAACACACCACTGTCACAAAGCTCAAACCATCTCAGACTTTGAACATTAATTTACTGTACTCACAAGGCGTCCACAGACTACATCTCAATCCAATAGAGCACCTATGGAATGTGGTGCATCATGGATGTGCACCCAATCAATCTGTAGTGACGCCATCGTATCAATATGCACCAAATCTCTGGGAAATGTTTCCAGCTCCATGATGAATCTATGTTATGAAGAATTAGGGAGTACCGGGTTAGACTTCCTGAAAGCAAAAGGAAGTCTAACCCGGTACTAGCTGGATTTACTAAAAAAAAAAAAAAATGAGATGGTGAGTGTAAATCTATGCACTAAATAAAGAAAAAACCTTGAGGTGACATGCTCTGGTCTACCGGCCAGTCAGTCATGGTAGACTGTCCTAATCATTGTCCAGCCAAAGCTTTGGGAGGTGTTGGAACATCTTAGGTATTTTTTAAAAACAGGAATTTTCCAGTTTTGTTATGTCTCCACCACATGAAAACACAAAAACATGTCAAGGAAGTAATTAATGCCATGCTGAAGCAATACATGTGTTATAAATTAGCAGATGAAAAATCCTCACTGTGGAAAGAGTTTTTTTAAAGGTCATTTCCAGTTACTTAAAATGTGGTTTACCCATGAACGAAAGGCCATAATGCACCTAAAAACGCATATTTTCCAAAATACCTGTGTACATGTTGATAGAGCCTGAATGAGTAAACATACTTGCTGTAGCATGCATCATTCGCAGTGGAACACGTATGCATTCACGCTGTGTCAAAGTAAATGGTTTGGTGAAAAAAATCAAGAAGCTCTCTTGTTGTCTACTATTAATGTATTTTCATCTCCCTTTATTCGACGCACATTTTTATTTTAATAAAATGAATTTTTGAATGTTAAAATGTCAAAACATATGAAAAGTCATCACATACTATAAATACTACTGATACTGATCTTAATAACAGTCAACGTTAGTTAAAACTGTAACAGGAGATCTGTGAGTCCCTATAATGATAAAGATTTGGAGATGCGATACAGACTAATTACATTTCCTGCATTGCACTGCACAAAGAGCCACTGGCTCGTTACACAACACCACACAGCATGGTGTAGGTAGGACACAAAAGATTAAATTAAAATAAAAAAAACACTGCCTTTGCCTATTATACACAGTGGGTATGTAACTGCAAATTCAATGCTGATGTTTGTTGCATGTCATAATATAATAAAAAAACGGTACAAGCCAATCAAAGATGACATGTTAATGTATTAAAGTCTCTAAGAGCGAAAGCAGCAAAGACAGTTGTAGTTGAGGAATTAGTTGTACTGTTATGTCATGGGTAATTATCTCATGTCCTCAAATACACCATATTTTTATAAAGGTAGCTGATGGAAACAAGGACTGGCTTCCATTTTATTTAACTTACTTTTCTGCAATGAGTGACACATCTAAGATGAAAAAAGAAAGAAAAAGCGAGAAAAAGAGGAACACAACGACAGACAGGAGGAAACCTAAGAAGACAACAAAAAATTCTTGTTAATGCTGTCAGGAGAATATGATAAGTTCAACCCCAATTAGTGAGAAAACTGAAGCAATCCTTAATATACTAGAACTATAGGTGAAAGCATAGTGTAAACTTTCAGTCATTAGCAGATTTGGTGGCAAAACTGTCAATCAGCTGTGCCAGCTGGCATGTTCACTCTCAGAAATCCCCGCACTTTTACCAGACAAAAAGCTGTAATCAGTGAGCTAAGCTCATAGGGTGGAGGTACCTCAGAGGTCAGAGAAGGTTTCAGTTGGATCAAATCTCAGAACAGGCTGGAAAAACACTTACAGGAAAAGTGAATAGGAAATACTTCCTTCCTTCACAGCAAACACAGAGGGGACTGTAGAGTCAGTGGAAAAACAATTCAGTGGCTACCATGTAAATACATAATTTGTGGTCTTGCGTGCCTACAAAATATTATGAAATCAAATTACACTTCTATATTTGACTTGGCACTCACAGCAAGATACAAATGACAGCAGTAATACTTCAATATCATTGTTGAAAGCTAATAGTAGTTGAAATAAAAAATACAACTTTCTAATTCCCTCTGAATGTTAATAACAGTGTTTAAATGTGGCCAGATGACTCTGTACATTTTAAACAGTTCGTATTTTCAAAGTTTTTGCAGACCTATGAACATTAACTTGCTTAAATAAAAATAAAAAAGTGAGAATTGTTTCAGGTTATTTGATAATTTAAAGCTGTAACCTTTGTCTCTTCTTCCTTAATTGCACACAGGTCCGAAGTTATGAATTTCTGGTGAAATCTGTTGCACTCGTCAGCAACAAGATACTACAGGAAAATACAGTAAGGGATGTAAGAGTACCCTACATTTAACCCCAAAACTCTGAAACAACAAGCCAGTCAGCTGTAGTGTTTCTCCTACATATCTCTGCACAGCATACAGTGTATACCTGTCCTGTTCAGTTCAATATCTATGCTTTTTGCTTAGACTTCACAGACACAAAAGTTTTGATAAGTCCAGCATTTTCAGAGAAAAAGAAAATATCAAAGCAGTCTACAGACGTTCCACAACCTTCTTCTCAAAGCCATATGGGCTATTTTGGCTGGTTGTATTCTTAGAAGTTGGATCTGCTTGCAAAAATAGGACTATTTTTCGATGCTGGCCTGATATGACGACTTTATTACGCTTGTGATGGCAGACAAGCTTGGCACCCAGTCTGCTTAGAAACACTGCAAACTGACTGAGGAGTATCAGCAAAAAACAAAAAAATGTGAGAAGAGTTGGTGTCAAACAGACAAATTTTATAGAAAAGAAAGTGACTGACAGAAAGGTAATTAGGCTTTTTCTAGAACCAACATGACCAGCTAGTAAGTCATTAGAAATAAGACAGACGGGCATGTTCAAGACATGTGCAACTACACTAATAACTAGCCAGCCTTGGAACAAAGTCTCTATCAACTGTATGTTGTGTTTTACTCCGTATGTTTGAAAGGCAATTTGCA